AATTTGTCGGGTGAAAAGTAAAACCATTTATTGATAGTAAATTTGATGGTGCAGCACTATTCTTGATTGTGGATGAAATTAAAAAAGGGAAAGAGGATTCTAATATTTTACAAGTATTACAAACAATGTTTCATTTTGGTGGTATTATTATGGACTCTCAATTAACAATAACCTGTATTAGAATTATAAATTGGGTGAAAGATAATTTAATCAAAGTTAATACTATTAAGCCTATCATTGAAGAGAATGATCTTTTAAGTTTTATATTTATATTGGGTATTAGTGAAGAAATTGAACTAATACATAAAAAAGTTGAAGAATCCTCACAGATTGTTGTACATGGATTTGGATCTGATTTTACATTTGTAGGAAGAGGTGTTGTTTTAGAAAAATTTAATTCATGCTATGAAAATTATTACAATTCACTTAATAATAATGGACAAGTAGACAGAGATAATGTTATATTTCCATTTATAGCAGCAGCACCTGGTATTGGAAAATCAAGAATGATGAAAGAAATTGGTATTCAAATGTTTCATAACAAACAATTCTTTCCATTATTTACTTCATTTGGTAATGCAACTAAGTTTGATGAACCATTAGAACTAAATCCAATTAATGGTTTATGTATTAGAATAATATATTCACTTCTATGCGCATTTAAAGGAAAGAATAATGCAGGCGCTTTTTATGAATTAGTTTCAAAATGGTATAATTATTTTGGAAATAGAAATGTTTACGATTTACAAACAATTTTAAAAGTGTGTAAACAATTAATTTCTCCAAAAGAGGAACTTAATTTCTTTTTAGGAATGGAGTACAAGTTCTTGATAAATGTGGTCAATTTAGCTTACTAGTATCAGCACTTGGTAAATATTTGCAAGAACCTAATTGTGGAATACTTTATCCTTTATTTACAGGTACTTATTATACAGGTGTAAGAGAAAGTGTATTGGGAAGTGGTTGGACTCCACAATATATTCCAATGGATGCCATGTTACCAATATCAAGTTTAGATGAAATAATAGATGCACTAGTTTTAAAATATAATGGTAAATTAAAAGAATGGAGAATTGATATGTTCTTTAAGCATTATTTAAGAACATTACGTGGTTATGCAAGAGGTGTGAGAATATTATTTATCTCATTTATTCAAAAAGATGA